TTCTAATAAATTCATTGGTCAAATATCAGCGGAAATTAATGATGTTTCTGATTGTCGGAAATGAATGTTTCTGATTGATTATCAAATATCAGCAGAAATAAACCATTGGACAGTTATCAAATGTCAGCGGAAATGAATGGCTGGTCATGATGTTTCTGATTTCTAGTAAATTCATTGGACAGTTATCAAATATTGGTGACTGGTCATGATGTTTTTGATTTCTAATGGTAGGTTTTTATATGATATTGATTAAAACAAGTTTTATAGACCTTGTTTGATAGCATTCATTACTTTAAGAAATATAGAAGCAGAGTAATTTTTCGAAAAAATGAATTAAATACAAAGACTTTATTATAAACAGCAGATGATATATATAAAGAATAAAAAAATAAAATGCAAGGTTTTAATTTTAATTATTATTTTGTAATTCGCCAATTGAAAGATTTATTTAGGACGAAAGATTAGATAATTTACTTTGTGATAAATATTTGGTAATTGGTATTTTGATAATTATCAATTTATTCACATGGATGTTGTAAATGTAGTATAGAATGAAGTAAATGAAAAAATAAAATATCAAATCAATTATTTATTAATGGTTCCTTCTAAAAGTAGTAATAGTAATTCTTGTAACGCTTTTCCATATTTCTCCTGATAATCTGCGATTTTGAAATTCGAGACTTGAAATGATAAATTCAGTGCAGTTACAGTAACGGAAACATGGATTTTCTAAAACATTAACTGAATTTTTTTGGGAATGATGAGATCAAAATCAAAGGGTAAAACATCATAACGAGCCATTTTTGCTAGCTGACTTAAAAACAACAAATTTTTATTATTCAAAATGTCAGGCAGGGTTAAACAAAGCGAAACTTGACTGGAAATCGTGTTTCGCTTTAGATATTTTTTGCGCAGTGTCTACCGTTGTCTACTGTTAGGTTTTCGTCTTGTTCTGACGTTCCAGTTGATTCGAAAAACTGATTGCCTTGTCTTGGGAGCCTTTACCTTAGATCGTCAAGACTTGTCACACAACGTGTTAATATATTGTGTTCTGGCACTTTTCACGATTATTTTATTCATATTGGTCAATTTAACGATCAATAAACAAACAACATATACATATTTTTTGATTTTTGACTTGAGAGATAATGGATAAGAAAAGTAATTTATTTTGTTGTTTTTCCTTTCGGAGCAAACAAATAAAATCCATTGATTAAAGAAAGTTTTCATTTCTGCCAATTCACAAATCAATTTACCTCTTGAATATTTTTTATTCGCTTGTATTTATTTAAGGATGAGTTTATCAATGGGTAAATGTAAGTATAACAATAACCGCACCCTCCAGAGATTTAGAGCAAAACTTGATGATGAATTAACTATTCACGTTACGATGGTTATCATAAAACTAACAATGCTGTCACAAGTATAAGTTATTTTTCAAATTCAACAAGTTTAACTATTATTAAATATAAAACTCCAAGGGAAGAGATAATCGATAATTTTCGTTCCAAGAAAAAAAAAACAACTTCTACAACATCCGACACCATTAACTTCAAATGTAGTAAGTACTGAGACAGCGGAAAATACAACAATGATTGATAGTAACAATCAAAGTAACACATTTATTTAATTATATTAAATAATGATAATTTATATATTGATTGTCAATGCTAAATGAGAAAACCGAGGTATTTTTTATTAAATAGAAATAATAACACAATCAGATACCTGGTTGCTTTTTATTTTTTTAAAAAATTTATATTACAATGCAATGCTTCAAAATAATATTATATTTATTTAATAATTTTTAAAAAATAATAAATGCTTAAAAGAAGGATATTGCAAATTTATTATGTCAAATTATGTTAAATATTTATTTTCTGTTCTAGGATCTTCGTCGTATAGTTCCAAGATAATTGCTTCTATGATAAGAATCTCATCTAAAAATGCAAAAACAATGTGAGCATGTGATAAAGAATGTTATCATGCAAAGATAATTAAATTTTTGTTTAAACAAATAGAAATACTAAGCAGTAATAAAGTCAATTAAATAACATTATAATATTATTTATTGAAAGTGATCTTTTCATGTACCTCTCTTATCTATTCCTTTTAAAAAAAGACTAATCATTTAATAATAAATATAATAATAATGATAACTCTTGGCCGTCACCATTGATCCTTTTTTTAAGAAATAAATAACCAATGAATTGTTTAATGATAAGTACAAAGTAGTATGTATACCTCTTCTAATATTTGATAGGTATTCGTGTAACAACTCACCATTGATTTTTTTTTTAAAAGAAAATAAAAAATTAACAATTTAATTATGAATACAATGTAGTATGCATACATCTTCTAATTTTTTTTCTTTTTCTCCTTGACAGTCATGTAACAGTCTTTGGAGCAATCATTAAACCTTTTTTTTAAAAAAACCAACTAATTATTTAATACTTAATCAGTTATAAGTTAATATGATTATTGTAGAATCACACAGTATTATTGTTCTTGCAAAATGCATAATGATTTAAACTTTAATGGTCAAAATTATAATTGATAAAATAGTGGTAATGATTAATAATTTTGTTAATGATATATACTGTTTGGATAATTGTGAATCCAAAAAATTGGGAATAATAAAATTATTTAATAAAAATTTATTTACTAACGATTTCGATGAAGAAATACAATTATTTCATCATGGTAATTGGCCCATTCTTCTTCAACGAGATGAAAATTTATTGTTATTAGAATCAACCCTTGGAACCATGCATCAAATGAGTTTTGAATATAAACTCTAAAAGGGATGCCTGGGCTAATAATAAGAAACAGAAATATTAAGATTTCCGGTCCAAACTATTTTTGAAAAAAAAAGTAGCTTTGATAAATGTTTTTTAACATGAAAAAACTATATAAATCAACCTATTTTAATTTATAATTTCGGCTATTAATAAAAAATAGATTGGGCCTATAAAAAATTAAATTTTGCCCAGTGCTTTGGCAATTTCGGCTACTAATACTAGGAAAGATGCATGGGAAAGACGAGAAATATTATATGGACTGCGAGGCCGTTTTCTACGAGCAAGTGATTCAATAGATCTTATATGGACCATCTAAAGTAGAAAAGAAGATTAGTCATGTAATCAAGAAGCAAGCAATTTACCTCTTTATTTATACAGAAGAATAAACGCAGAAAATTATAAGAAATTAAAATTTGACACCTTCCACAATCATGCCTGCGTACCTGGTACACCTACTCAGAGGGATAAGCATTGCCATCGCACTACAGCAATCTCATTAAATTTCAATGATCATGGAAAACCACATAACATGGAAAACAAACTTGCATTTATATAATAGTAGTTAGTAAGTAGTAATAGTAGCGTAGTTACAGTATTTGTTGTTGTTAATTTTATTAATATTTTGCTAGCACGAGGCTAGTATTAACATTGATATAATAACATAGCACATATAAATTGTAATAGAATTCTTTTACGAAAAAAATTTCTTCCCTACCCACTTTTAAATGCTGGAACACCAAAGCAAATCACGTGTGTTTAACTTCAATGTATTATGGTCAGATGAAGCTACCAAGTATCCTACTACATGGTTATCTGCTTTAAAAAATGAGATGCCAGTACTTTCTGAACTTGCTGCTTCATCATCATCATCATCATCATCATCATCACCACCACCATCATCAGCAGAAAGAAATTGGAGACGTTTTGGCTTTGTTCATAGACTAACTGACGACAGAGGTTTAAGTTGGTTTATATACATATATTCAAATTTTCGTTTGAATGACAAATTTACAAATGATAATGTAGATATTTGGTAGATTGAGAATGAAGATAAAAATGATAATTGAAAATGATGAAAGTGAATTTGAGAATGAATATTTGGATTATATTATAAAAAAATTCATAATACGTTATATTCTATTACTAGTGCCGTTAAGATCCAATTAATTAATAAATAAATTAGTTAGGATCCGATTAATACTAATACAGTCAACCTCGTCACAGCGGATTTCTTGTTACAACGGATTTAAATGTTGGCCCTTTTTTTATTAATATTAATATTAATTAAAAATGTTTGTAAATAAATTTATTCCATAACGTTAACGGATTTTTGATGGAATGGATACTAGTCTCATCACAGCGGATTCACGTGAGATGTAAATTATGAAATTTATCCAAATTACCAAAATTGATAAAATAAAATAAATAACCAAAGGCCAGTATTAAAATAAAGCAATAAAACAAACAGTTTTATCCAAAGATTTATTAGTAACAAATTTTCTAAAATAAACCAATACAAACAATTGATAGACTATTTGTCCAAATGTTTGCGAGTAACAACTTTTTCCAAGTTTCTAAATTAAATCAATAAACAAACAATTCATAGGTTATTTGTTCAAATGTTTGCGAGTAACAGCCTTTTCCAAGTTTCAATAAATCAATAATTTGATAGATTATTTGTCCAAATTTTTTGCGAGTAACAAAATACTAAAATATATTAATAAACTGATGGATTATTTATCCGAATGTATGCAAGTAACAAAATTTTCCAAGTTTCTAAAATAAAATAATTGATAATAAAGTCAATTAGATTATTATTACAATGGGCAAATCAGTGAGGATGCTCAACATCTCAGCCTAAAGCCCTATCCCGATTGGTTTTTTTTGCAAACTGAAATATTAATAAAAATTATTTGCCAATCACCAATTTTGCCACAGCGGATTTCTCGTCACAACGGATTTTTTTGGCTGATACCATCAATCCGCTGTGGCTGTAATTAGTCAATATACAATTAATAATGAATGGGTTAAGATTTAATTAATATAACTAATTAAAATCCAAAGCTCAAATAAATTTAATTTTTATTATTGTAATATAAAAAATACAATTTTTGATTCAATAATGGAAATAAAAGTTATACACAGAATTAATTATTTAAACTTCAACAAGCAATAATGAAAAGTTTAGAATATCTCATTTTATAATCGGACATACAATAAAGCAGAATCAAACAAATTTTCTTGGGTTGTGGCCTTGTCGAACACTTTGTCGAAATTATAAATTTTTCCATTGTCGGTTATAATGCTTCGATTTGTAGTCTTTATTGCTACAGGTGATGATGTTTCCCTTTCTAAAATATCTTGAAATTTTTTTTTTCGATGAACAAAAAGAATATTAAGCAATAATGTTTAAAAAATTATTGTCAAATAATGCTGATAGTTTTATCCTTTGTAAAACTCACCTACACCTTACTACCACCTTAATAAGCTCTCCACCAATGACGACGAGTGGCGATAACCGCCATTCTGTCTTGATCTATTTGTCTTCTTATGCGATCTTTTTTTGGTGCTATGATTTAATAATAAAATTAATTTTGAAAATATTTTATAAAGAATTTCTTGATTCGCGGCCTTGTCAAATACTTTGTCGAAATTATAAATTTTTCCATTGTCGGTTATAATGCTTCGACTTGTAGTCTTTATTGCTACAGGTGATGATGTTTCCCTTTCTAAAACATCTCTTTTAATTTGAAATTTTTTTTTCGAAGAACAAAAAAAATATTAAGCAATAATGTTTAAAAAATTATTGACAAATAATGCTGATAGTTTTATCCTTTGTAAAACTCACCTACACCTTACTACTGACACAATAATCTCCATTAATGACGACGAGTGGCGATAACCGCCATTATGTCTTGATATATCAGCTCTTCATTCGTCCTGACATTATCAATATGATATAAAAAAAAATAAAATAGGATAGAATGATCAATAATCACTACCACCATTTTTTTTTTTTTAATAATAACGACGAGACCATTCTTGTGATGAATACTTACTCGCATATTTCCGATCTGTTTTGATCAAGGTTTCTCCTTGAACGATCTTTTTTAAGTGGCATTTTGTTATAAAAGTTAATTTAAAAAAGATTTTAATAATAAAATTTTTGAATTTTAAAATATTTTTTTAATAATACAATCAATCCCCTCTAAGTGCACTCTCATTAGAAACATATCACTATTTCTCATGGACGTGCATTTAGAGAGGGGAACTTAGAGGGAGTTATAATATAATTTTCAAATTTGAAAAGATTTTTAATAATAATAATAATAATAATAATAATAATAATATAATTTTCAATTTTGAAAATTTTTTTTTTGATAAGAGACCATTACCCACACTCACACACTCTTTATATATGAAAATTTATTTTATATTGTGGTAAACAAAAAAAAAATACGTCAGAATTGTTTTATTTTGATGTAATCATTGCATGTTTCAGTATTCAATCAATAAACTGGTTTATTATTTGTCGGCGTTTAAATAACTAACTAATTTCACATGAAGATTTCTATTTTTATTACTGTAATATAAAAAAATTCTGTAATAAAACATACAATAACATGTTTTTTTATCGCGCATTCCAGTGACATCAACAAGATCATTGATGTGTGTTCAGTAATTATGACGCCACTTGATGTTGCCGTAATGATCTTTTTGTTCAATTAACCTATTATTAAGAGGTGATGGATATTACTCTTTTAAAATCACTTATTTAGAACAAGACAGACAGATATCCAGAAATTAGTGTTTCTTGAGGAATACAAGCACTTTGTATATAATTAATTTGTTCTCAACTAGACATACATAAATGATGCATTAGAACCAAAGTTGAGAGACGAAAATATTTTGTAGTGTAAAAAAATGTTTAGTCAAATGGGGCACGTGCAACAAAATATGACGAAAGGTGACGAAATTCAATTTAGTTACACATTTTTTTTATGTTTCTGTTTCACATTTATTAATAGACTTGGTTTTTCATTACACAGTCTAATATGACCTCATCAAATCTTCATTACTAGTGAATTGTATAAATAAATAATATGAATTTGAAAATAAATATAAATAGATATATTAAATAACATTACACTATCTTGTAAATATAAAATATTTAAATACGTTTTTTTTAATTATATTCCATTATTGTTATTTATAAAATTCTTATTTTTAAATGTATCATAAAAAAAACAAAATATAATCCACTATATGATCTTTGTACTATTGGTAAAAGTAATTAATTATGCATCAGATGGTATAGTTGGCTCGGTCTAAAGACCTCCTAAGTTTTGCATAAATTTTAAAAGTATAGAAGTCACTTTCTGTCCTATCTTTTAAAAAAATAACGTTATTAGTTGATAGAATAGGTCTTTAGTTTTAATGTAATAATGAGATATTCTCAAAAAAATCATTTGTTGTAGAGTTCTATTCTTTTTTAGAACATGTACTTTACTATGTTCACGAGAAATTTGCCGCTAGGATCATTACTAAATTTAGACCAAACTACAAAAATCATTTCTAAATTTAGACTAATACATGACCATCATATCTAAATTTGGCAGTACGAAATAAATTTTTAAACCCAAAATCACGTGAAGTCCTATTTTCGAAAATTTTTATTGCATTTTTGAACAAATTACAAAATTGCTATTTTTGAAATTTGGCCACGTGGCGCAGAAATAGGAGGTCTTTAGACCGAGCCAACCATACCATAAAGTCTTGAAAGGTAACACGAAATAATTTCACACATAACAATAAATAAATATATTCTTTGTTTCTTTCTATATACATGAGCAGTATAATTCACCACTGTCAAGTGACCAAAACTAGCAAATTGTATGTTAATTATTCAAAGCTGACCCACAAGAGTTAAAATGAAATGTCCGTCCGAATTTGATATTATTTATATAATTTGAGAAATGATGTTGGTTACTCTTTTTTCTTCCCCTCTTCGTTTTTCATCTCCTTTTTGATTCGTTTGGTAACCAACGCACAAATTGTATCTCGTATGGTCCTAAACTACAGTATTAGGGTGATGCACTTTTCTGTTTTTTTTTTGATAATTGTTGAGCTTGGAGGAAAAGAACGTAAGTTATTGTCATCTATTCTTATATGCACACGGAAGAAGATAGCAGAGAAAATCAAGCACAAGTTAAAAGACTAGCAAGAGAAAAAACGGAAGGCTATCAGGTATCATTGAGTTTTACGACTTTGTAAAGAAAATAAGTACATTCATTGATCTATAAATGAAAATTTCTTCCCCAAAATTCAAGCCTAACAAAAGTTGATTTTCAACATCAACATCAACATTAACATGTCGTGTTGACATCTCTCTTCCTTTCACATCCACATCATGATCAATAGAGAATATTTATCACAACGTAACCACGTGAAACTGCAAATTCCTTTTTATGGACAAAATTATTTTAAAAATCCAAAAATCAACAATAGATTGAATGTTTTTTAATTTTTATTTTTATTTTTATTTTTTAACATTAAGTTAAGTTTGGATGGAAGGTCTGTGTTCAGTTCGTTATGAAAAAACTTGTCAATATTGACCAAA